AAAAAAAAAGAAAAAAAAATTCATTGCGACGAATGTAAAAAGTAATTTTGTTAAAAAGTAGAAGTTACTTTTCATTTCTGCTTTTTATTTCTAGATTTTCAGACATTAAACTTTAATGCAGATGATTTGACAATTTGTTCCACTCTATACTAAAATGCTGTTACAAAGTGAAAATAATATAATGATGCAAAGTAAAATGTATATATTATACAATGTACTTATATAATTATTTAAAAGAAAAAAAAATTCTATAATGTATTAATGCATATTTCTCGAATTTCAATATATTTGAGAGATTATTAAGGTATCTTAAATTTGACTTATTATTAATGTACATTTAAATAATTTGCCTTTTGTCAAATGTAGCATCTCATCTCTGTTTGTGTGAAGAGAAAATGATTCTTTCCATCTTCTATGGAGGCACGGTATTAGCTATTTCGAATACACACAAATAATTAACGCGAATATTAATAAATTCATTTTAACTGAACATTCATAGCAAGTTTAATAGCTTAATAATGTCACCTTCACTTGGTAATCCCGATTTTCAAAAGCAAGCCGACATTGAAACTGTTCTATTGGTATGTTTTCTACAAGCTTTATAATCCCTGTCAATTCATTATTTTTATGAATCTTAATGTTAATAAAAAATAATCCCATACTTATCAGAAATGAACAATCATAATTTTTCGGCAATGTATCAATTTCTATTACACATTCTTCCGGAAATATTTTTTCATTTTGCTTTATCTAAAACCAAGCATTTTACGTTTAATATTAAATAAAAGTGCAACAATATTAGTAATAATAATAACGCAATATCAATAAAAAGAATATACAATAATTTTAATACCTCGTAAAATATATTTTTATGACAGCGTCTTAAATGTTTTATCAGTTCTGTGGCTGGTAATATTCGAATACATGAACCAATACAATATGGATAAAGCCTTCTTTTTTACTAAATTATACACTAAATTATAAAATTGTTTCCCTTGTTTGCATAAAAATTTGCTTATTAAAAAACCTGCTTGTGTAAAAATACTTGCAAATTTTTTTTGAAATATTTTTTCTTCGTGGTTTATAATGTATTTTAAATATCTTTTCTTCATATTTTTCAGTTGATTTTCAATCAATATTTATTAAACATGAAACATGGAATATTAGATAGT